ATATAAAAGTCTCTCCATATAATATACCATATATGCAAACTGAAAGAAAAAAACCACGTGATCATCTCCTTAGATGCTGAAAAAGCCTTTGACAAAATCCAACACCCCTTCATGATAAAGGTCTTGGAGAGATCAGGAATGCAGGGAACATACCTAAACATAATAAAGGCAATTTACAGCAAGCCAACAACCAACATCAAAGTAATTGGAGAAAAACTCAAATCAAATCCACCAAAATTAGGAATAAAACAAGGCTGACAATTCTCCTCATATTTATTCAATATACTACTCGATGTTCTAGCTAGAGCAATAAGACAACAAAAGGAGATCAAGGGGATATAAATTGTAAAGGAAGAAGTCGAACTTTCAGTACTTGCAGATGACATGATAGTATACATATGTGACCCCAAAAATTTTCTCAAGGAACTCTTACAGCTGATAAACACCTTCAGTAATGTGGCAGAATACAAGATTAACTAAAAAAAAATAGTAGCCCTCCTTATACAAATGACAAATGGGCCGAGAAAGAAATCAGAGAAACATCACCCTCTACAATAGCCACAAATAATATAAAATACCTTGGGGTAAATCTAACAAAGCAATAGAAGGACCTATATGACAAAAACTTTAAGTCCCTGAAGAAAGAAGTTAAAGAAGATGTCAGAAAATGGAAAGATCTCACATGCTCATGGATAGGTAGGATTAACATAGTAAGAGGCAATCTTACCAAAAGCAATCTACAGATTCAATGCAATCCCCATCAAAATATCAACACAAATCTTCACAGACCTGGATAGAACAATACTCAACTTCATACGCAAAAACAAAAACCCAGGATAGCCAAAAGAATCCTGTATAATAAAACAACCTCTGGAGGCATCATAATCACTTACCTGAAGCTCTACTATAGAGCTACAGTAATAAAAACAGCTTGGTACTGGAATAAAAACTGACAGGTGGACAAATGCAACCAAACTGAAGATACTGACATTAATCAGGACACCTACAAATAGGTGATTTTAAACAAAGAAGCCCAAACTGTACAATGGATAAAAGAAAGCATCTTCAACAAATGGTGCTGGCATAACTGGCTGTCAACATGTAGAAGGCTGCAAATAGATCCATATCTGTAACCGTGCACAAAACTT